AAATCCCTATCATACCTGTTCTAACAAAAGGGAACTGTCTTTGCACAGCCCTCCAATATGCATTTTGCTGGATGTGTGTCAAGTAAGACTGTCCCATTCATTCAAGGTAATAATCTTAGCTTCACTAAAGTCAATTTGATACTGATGAAAGATGAGAGAAAGGCAACGGTGTTCCTACCTATTAAAGAGACCAAATCACAGCAGCAGCCCTGTAAATGTACTCAGCTCTGTTACTGAGTAAGGCTAGCCAAGTAACATTCAAATGAGTTGAAGGAATACTCTACCTAACTCAATGTTAGTTTGAGCAACTCTCCTCTTCCCCCTCCCTTTTTACTGGCTAAGCTTTAACTCCTGCTCCAGAAATGTCCACCAGCTTTGCCCATTGCAAATGCTTTTTCCGTATCTGTTCCTTTATCATACTTGCAAGTCCCCAGATGCCCCCCACTGCATCTGCCAACCCCTAAGGAGTCTAGTCTTTTCACCATTAGGATGACTTGGAGTTCTGTTAATGGAGGGATTCCACCTAAACAATGGGGGCTCGACCAAAGTGAGTGTCCAGGTAAATAGCTCCCTACAAAATAATCCATTTAAAATATTATCAGAGGTAATATTTTAAATAAATATTTAAATAAAGTGGATTTGAATGCAAGCAGAGGTTATTTGGGCATAGCTGCTAAAGAAAAGATACTCTGATTATTTATATACTCATAGCACCCAAGCAAAGTTTTAACACTCTGAACGCAACAATTAGCATTTTTCAACTAAAACAGACCGCATGCATGCAAGCTGTTTGCTTATGCATTTGAACAATGAGCCCCAGACAAAAACAATGCAATGCTTAGAAACAATGGAAATATAACTTAGAAAAAGGTCATGTTTATTTATTATTTTAATATTTCTCATACATATATTTGTGCTTATATAGTATACATACGTAAGTAATTCAATGGCATCAAACAGATTTTGAAAAATACTTAGAAAACTACAGTAAAATAAGAAATTTCATATTTTTTTTTATTCCTACTGCATAAAATAAATTTGTCACACCTATGCTAAAGGCAGGGCATTCCAAATACTTTGCTTAAAGTTTGAATTTCCTGCCTTTGAATGATCTTAATTATTGTCTGGATGGCATGCGATAATTTTATAGATCATATTCTCTGCAGTTACATTTTTATTAAATAGTTCTGATTTAGTTTGGTTGCTTTTTCTTTTGTGCTTGTATGTAGGTCTGCATTTATGCGTGTAAGTACATATTTTATTTGTCATTTGGAAACGAACACAGGGATTTTTATAAAAGGAAAATATTTCAGAAAGTTATTTAATATTCCTATAAACAACATAATTTGTCACAAGAAATGATTGAATCTATTTTGTTACTTTTGGCTTAGAGAAATATTCTAAAGCTGTATAATTATCAACAAATGCAAATACTTGCCACAACTGTTTGCAAATTAGTCCATTTAAAGATAATACATTATTTTAACCACTTTAATAGAGGAACGAATAAAGCGAATTGTATTTATTAAATAATGTAATGCTATACCTTTCTTAACTGCTGAAACAGAAAAATTTTTAAAAATCCAGAATTATAAGAAGTCAATGCATGAAGAAGAAAAACAAATTAAACTTATGCAGAAAACCTAAAATTTAAACATATGTATTCAATATTCTTACCCAGAAAGAGATTTGTATAAATAAAGATAATCTATAGAAAAAACTTTGAAATACTGATCTGACTTCTATAAAACTACCTTAATTGTAGGATTCTTTGAAGTGTTTTGCTGTGCTGTTAACTTTGAGATCATGCAATTTTCAATTTTTTTAATACTTCAGTTCCCATCCCTAATATACTTTAGTTTGCATTAAGAAATCCAATAACAGAAATAGAATTTATTTCTAATGTTGTAACAATTGATAAATGTTAGGAAAAATAAATAGTAAATCAGTAAGAGGATTAATTATTGAAGGTCACTGAGTGATGTCTTGACTTGTTCATAAACTTACGACTAAAATGAATAACTTATGAGGCATTATCACGGAGATAATTTGAGTCTAACACTCAAGTTTTTTGCAAAATTTCCACAAAATTAAATATTAATTAGGTCTCCCTATCTCAGATTATTTAATAGGGGAAGACTGAACCAACAGACATCTCTTTAGTTTAAAAGAGGAATAATTGTGACAACACTGAGCTTAAGTTACTTTACTACTGGAAAAGCTGCAGCTGCAGGGTATTTTCTTGAGTCAAGCAGACATACACAAACATAAAGTAGGAGGTTAAAAGTGGCTTTGTTTCTTCTTCTCTTTAAAATGGCACATATATATTTATATTTGTATGCATTTATCCTTCATTCTTGAGTGAATGGAGTTGATCTATACCACCTGGATTCTTTATGCAACACACTGCAGGTTTGCGAAGGATAAAATGTAATGCCTAGAAGATAAATTAATAAATAAAATATAGAGAAAAATAAGGATTAGAAGTTGATGGAAGTCAGTGAAGTCAGTACCATCAGCTAGTAGGCTCCACTGTATATTTAATCACTGTTGGTTACTTCATTGTTCTGAAATATAGGCAAATATTGAGTTTTCTTCTTTAAAAAGAATCAAGGAAACCTATATATTTATCTATTACATAGTAGTAAAACTCCATTTTTTTAAAGGCATGTTTTCTCCACACCTTTATTTCAGTGTTGCTATTTCTAGAAAGATAAATGACTCCCTTTAAAATAATTGAAAATTACTATAAGATTTCAGCTTCCAAAGAACAACCTTTCCTCTTAAATTAGAATGTGCAAGACAAATTCAACAAGACTACAGTGGATAATATTTATACATTCAAATCAACTAAAGAAGCTCTATTTACCAATTCCCTGCTCATTTTTGCCCAATAGAAAACATAACAAAATTAAAACAACCCTTCTCAATACAATGCAAATTAATATTAAAAAATTAAATAGAATCCAGAGTAAATACATCCTCAATAATGTCTAAAACAGCAGCAGTTCTTATTTGCTTCCATGAGGATACAAGCACAGAATTGTTGAAAAGCAGTCTATTTTAAAATAGAGCATAATCTGCTATTCAGCCTGTTCTTTCACCAAGTTTTATTTAAGCAGTTTATCTTATTGAGATTAGGATCTCTTTTATAAAGAAATACCTGGTAAAAGCAGGCCTCTGGTTTTGAATGTCAGGCTATATTTCAGTGAAGGAGGGGGGGAAAGGGCTTTTAATAGCAGAATGCTTTCTCAACGTAATCTTTATCAGGCAACTGGAGAACTAATGCCAACACATTAGAGATAATTCCTCTAGCACTATGGATGATCCAAAGACAGCTTGTTTATTGTCTTGAAGGCTCCCATCCTATTATCCAGAGTTTTTATCTTGGCTTTTCAGTTAGGCCTCCTTCAACATGATGTATTGAAAGATACAGAGGATATGCGTGGTTTTTAAAAACGTTATGGCATGCAAATGCATGCAGCTGGAACCCAATAGCCCTTTAAGGAGGCAAACCTGTAAGTCAAGGGCATTACTGGAACAAGAGGAGTGCAGGTAGGGAAAAAAATTATGCTCAGCATTTGCTGTTCCCCATCACTCCAGCTCTGGTAAGGTTTTCCTCTGGGGGGTGGAGGAGAGATGACAGCTGTACATGTTTGCAGTTAGGAAGCTGTTTGGACCGTCCTAAACATTATGATATAAAACATTTTTTAAAATCATGACTAAACATTAGTGCTTGAATTCTCAACCTTGACACAATCTTGAATTGTACTGGTGCCTGAAACCTGTTTTGATAACTGAGGACCAGTTGATTATTTGAATCAAGGAAGAGATTTTTATAAGGCATTTCTATGTGCTTACATCACTTCTGATACATGAATCAGCTTTATTTGGTCATGCTCAATGAATAAACCCTGATTAGGATATGGAAGGGAGGCCATCTTTAAAATGGGCAGATTTGTTTATAGCTGCTTAATCAGCATTTTGTTAACGAAGGGACTGCAGTACCTGTAACATACATTGACTTTATTTATTTACTTATCTGAAATGACCTTATACTAGTGGTTTATAGAACATTTTATTGTGTGACTGATAACTACTAATCAAGCAAGCATGAGTCAAAAAACTAAGCTTTGAGAAGTCTGGAGTCTGACAGTGATCCTTC